GGAGATATTATTAGCATAGAGTATGTACCTACATCACACCAGCTGGCCAATATTCTCACAAAAGGACTAACTAAACAAACTCTTGATTTCCTTGTAGGCAAGCTTGGTCTCATCAACATTTACAGCCAAGCTGACCAAGCTTGAGGGGGAGCGTGGACGAAATCAAATATTATCTTATTTGATTTAGCATTCATTTAGTACTTTGTATTTATAGCTAGTATTGATTTAGTATTTTTTATTTATAGCTGATAGGATTCTTTCCTTGGGAATTTGATATTTTCCCTGATTTCTTGAACTTTACCTCGTGCCATTAACCCGTTTAAACGGCAGTATTATTCTTGAGTTAATACATACAGAAATTATCTCATCTCTGATTTCTATATAATGAAAGTCAAAACTGCATTGTTTTAAACTCCAGTTTCATAGAACTGTTTGTTTTATCAGTTTAACAGATTGCATTTTCTGGATTCCGAATCTCATCAATCAGTTCCATGTCTGTTTGGGAATTTCAAAATTAGAGCAGATTTGTTGTGACTTTTTAACCAGCTGGTCCAGCTCCATTCAGTTGGTTCAAAGAGAGACCAGTTGGTCTCCATTTGCCACTAGCTAAACACAGATTTGCCTTTTGTTTTAATTAATTAAATCAACAGCAATACAACAGACTTGATAGTAGAATAAACGAAGTGTTGAAGAAGACTTGATCTTAGCATAGAAATAGTTACTTATAAGAGAGATCTTTTTTGTCTATTATGTTTTATATATATATAAGCAACTTATAGTTTATCAATGGGTTCCAAATAAATTATTGAGGGGACTAATCTACATATTCTCTTCATAGTACTGAATATCAAACTTTGCTTGCTGAACGTGCTCCAACTACTTCTAAGAGAGTAGAAACCTTTCATTTCCTAGCATTGCTTGATACTTGTGTATTGAGTATTAACTAATTAGAAAGGTGATTCTTCTTTCCTAGGTGGCTCTTCTTTCGAGGATACACCACAGAAATCTTGTACATTTTCTTGGATATTGCCAAGAAGATGGAAAAGATATTCTTGTATATGAGTTCATGCATAATGGGACTCTAAAGGAACACCTATATGGTAAGTTATTTATTCCAAATAAAGACAAGTAGATATAATCCTTGATTAATTTAAAATTTGCTCGTCTAGGGCCTTTGACACGTGAAAGAGGTATTAGTTGGATCAAGCGTCTTGAGATTGCTGATGATGCTGCAAAAGGTTGGTGAGCAAGTATCAATTTGTTTTGCCTGAGTAAAAAACCCATCAACAAAATTAATCGGATTGGTAATTATTTGTCTTTAAAAAAGGATTTGTTCAGACTTTCGATTCCTTTTTCAGGAATTGAGTATCTTCATACTGGTTGTGTTCCATCAATCATCCACCGGGATTTGAAAACAAGCAATATCCTTCTTGACAAGAACATGAGAGCTAAGGTTTCAGATTTTGGTCTTTCAAAACTTGCACTAGATGGAGCTTCCCATGTCTCAAGCATAGTTCGAGGAACTGTCGGTTATCTGGATCCTGAGTGAGTCTTTCTTTTCTCCTAGACTTTCAGCGTTGTCTCTCAAGGAACAGTAGAGGATAAGAGAATGTTTGGCTAAGCTTAAAAAGTTTACTTTTAGGCATATGAGTAAGTTTCAAAATAAATATACTCTAGTTTTTGGTATATGCATTGCTGGAATTGGACAATTTTCTTGAACCATACCACCACTTGTCCGACCGGAAGGGATGTTGAGTAGCGCCAGATTCCAATCCTGTAGTATCTATTTCCTAGGACTTGTAGGAAGAGAAGTCATAGTAAGCAATAACTTTTTTATTGGTCAAAGTCAGAATAAGGTATTTATTTTGGTAGTACAACGAGATTCACTTTCAAAATAAACTACTATTTTTACTTAGAAGTAAGAAAAAGTAATATATCGAAACATTTTTAGAAAAAAATATTACTTTTTAAGATATTTCTAAGCTTAGCGAAACATGCTTGTGTCCTTGGATGTTTTCAACTTATTGTCAATGTGTGTGTTTTTTGTTTTTTTTCTTCATGCTTTACATCTGTTTGTGGAAATTCCCCTGGCGCACTGGCTGGTCTACATCTCTGTCCTGTATGAATAAAACTGTTAGAATTACTAGGTTTAACACATAAATTCATAGTGGAATTTGCAAAAGATATATACACAAAACACCATTGGATCCAAAATACAATAATCACGCTTTTTGTTTATCAATGAGATGAACGGTGAGTTAATAATTCATCAAACCAACCTCTATTTCGGCCCAAAATTTTCAGCTTGTTCACAGTGACATCTATTTGAAAATTAACTTTCAATGGACCCTCTGGGAGTCTCTCTGCTTCAGTTAAAACTTCAGAACAAATTTAAATTTGGAATCTGTTGTTTCAGTTTGAATGAGAAACCTTAATAGGGTCACCTATAGGGGCAGAATTTTGCAAGTGGAACCAAACACATTCCTCGTAATTTGTCAATCAATTTTTACATGTTATTGATGTTTCTTAGAATTGGCAGCAACTGTCATATTTATTTGTTTTTGCTGTCAAATCATTCTTATACTGAACCAGTAAATTCCTTCTAATCAAATACTCGCTTCTTATTGGATTACTAAATATGATGCCATACGAGCAATCTGCCACTGGCAGTGGAATCTGGTTGATTGAGATCCAATACTAATATTGCTCTTTAATGATGAGTAATATGGCCGCTAACCGACATGAACTGTTGAGAGTTAATTAAATTCTTTCACATTGGTACCAACAATTGTGACTTTCTCCCCTTTCATGTCATGCAGGTATTATATCTCCCAGCAGTTGACGGATAAAAGTGATGTCTACAGCTTTGGAGTCATTCTCCTCGAGCTTATATCTGGTCAAGAAGCAATTTCTAATGTGAACTTTGGAGTTAATTGCCGTAATATAGTCCAATGGGTAAGATTCTTGAGACAGAAAAAGCTCTGAATTATACTAGCGAGTGTCTACAAATCACACGTTCAGATTTTGTAATGTACTTGACCAGAAAACCGACTATGGTCTGTGGAATCGTGAATAGTTCCACAGTCATTAAAATCTTATTATCTATTCTACTATGGAAAATGTTAACGTTTTTCATTAACTGACACTGGCAGGCTAAGTTACACATCGAGAGCGGGGACATACAGGGAATCATCGATCCCACTTTGCACGAATATGACATCCAGTCGATGTGGAAAATAGCCGAGAAGGCAATGATGTGCGTTCAACCTCACGGTAGCATGAGGCCATCAATGTGTGAAGTTATTAAGGAGATTCAAGATGCCATTGCAATTGAAAGAGGAGCGGCTGCTAATAAACAAGGTAGTTCAGATGAAATCTCTAGACATTCTGCTCATTTTTCTTTGAATATGGCATCGCTCGACCTTAGTGCTAGCGAGCATTATTTGTCTATCGACGATTCTATCACGCAGCCAGCTGCTCGGTAAAACTTCTGTTTGGATCCTGTAGTGTTTTCCCTCCTATTTATTTGATTGACAGGGTGAGAGGTTTTGTGAATTTCTTTGTGTTTATGGTAGAAGTAAACTGTAAATTCTGAGCTTGTTGGTTGAGTACATATTTGTAACTATTCATGAATAATTCTCTAATTATTGTCCTAATCTGAAGTTTTTTGTAATATATTTTTTCTTATTTCTCTTGGGCTCGTACCCAATAAAATTGTGAACCTCAATAACCTTGATAGCATGTTTGTTATTGGACTTGACTGGACAATTCAGTAAGTTCATTAAAATTTGAAAAATCCTTCCAACATCCTATTTAAATAAATGCGTATGTTTTAATTTTGAAATTGTTGGTTTGGATCCACGGACGCTTGTAAAGAATATGATTTTTAAACAAACCAAAGTACTATTGATGATGTTGATGACATCGTTGGTCAACATTTCTGTCTTTGTTGATAGACGTTCGATAATAATCACAACTAGTATTATTGTTTGTAGTTCTGTACAAATCGATGATAATTATTTATTTTCGTTAGTATAATCGATTTTTTTGAAGATCAATCTTTCTATGAAATGCTTTAGGATTATTTTTGAAAATGCTTCATCAAAGATGTTTATCTAAGACTCCCAATATTATTTGAGTTCCTCTAAATGCGATATTTATTTCAATTGTTTTCACAATATTTTACTATAATGAAGAAGAATATTAAAATATATTTTATATTTCTACTAAAAAAGAGGTCAGTTCATACTCTATCTTGTGCACAACTCTCAATATTGATTTAACATCGCGACCTTATACCTAAATCTACGAATATAATAGATTTTAAAATTAAAAGAGTAGCCATTAAAGATATTTAAGCTGAAAAATGAAGTCTCCTGATTAAAAAAAAAAATTAAAACTTAAATTATTTTTGAAAAAATCGATCGAGGAAATGAGTAAATTATTCAAAAATATCTAAACTTTGGGTTGCATGATGAGACTTTATTGAACATTAAAAGTATTGTTGAGATGTCATTCAACTTTATTAAAATGCTCTCAATGATAATTGAACGGTAATTTGTACCATGTGAATTCCATTTGCCACGAAGGTAATTAGAATCTTAACGAGTGATTAATGTAAAGCATTTGAAGGTCTGTTTGGTATTGATTTTTAGAATTAATTTTTTGTCCGTTAAAGAAAAAAGTGGCCTTTTGGCTTGAAAAATTATAACCAAACGGGGCTTAGTAATGTTTCATCAATACTACAAAATTTAGTGTCTCCGTGTGGTGTGGTTTAAAGTTAATTTTTTTTTAAAAACCATTAACCCCTACCGTGGCTGTAAAATTTACTTATTTTTTGAAAAGCAAAAATTATATCGAAAAGGAGAAAAGAACATCCTGACTAAAACGATGAGGTCCGTTGAGATATCGGCAGTGACACGTGGTGTAATCACACTGAATAGCTGTATCCATAAAACGGACGGTGTAGATAGAACAAATCTCATTCCCAATCTCTCATCTCAATCGTCTCCTCTCTCTCCCCAATTCTCCACCCTCCGATCTCCTAATTCACTCTCCTCTTCTCCCTCCCAAATACAAATACCGGTACTCATTCCACCCCCGGTCTAATTTCTCTTTCCACTTTTCCTTACAAATCCTTGTATCTAATGCTGTATTCATCCATGGTCACTGAGTTTGGATTTTGTTTTCTAGGGTTTTGGAGGTATGGCGGATGCTGGCAAGCAGGGACGGCAGACGGGGAGTCCTGGCGGCGGCGGCTATGAAAGTGGTGGCGACCTGAGCCCTAGATCGAATGCTAGAGAGCAGGATAGATTCCTGCCTATCGCGAATATTAGTCGGATCATGAAGAAGGCGCTCCCTGCTAATGGAAAGATCGCCAAGGACGCTAAAGAGACCGTTCAGGAATGCGTCTCTGAGTTTATTAGCTTCATCACCAGCGAGTATGCCAAAAGCTTAATTATTGGTTTCAAATTTTCTTCATTTTTTATTTTTGTGTGTGTGTGTGTTGTCTGTTAATTAAGTGATTGAACGAAGGAGAGCATCGGTGATTCACGATTGGAGTGAAAAAGGATTGCCGTGCCCTTCTTTGAAAAAGTTACTTCCGTGTTTGCATAGAAATCCCTAAGGTCCGAGTTTTAAACACATCATTCCATCTTTTACATATTGCTTTATTTAATTTATATATGCGTTTGTGTGTGATTGATGGAATTACCCGGAAATTGTTACAGGAAATAACAAATTTTCAATTTCGCGAACAACACACGCACACTTTAGCATTTTCCTTGGAATCTGTACACGTCTTATGTAGACATGGAACTATGTCTTCGTATATGTGTATAAATGTATGCATCTTTGGGTTATGTCGTCTTTTTATGAGTGACTTTGCAGTAATTTGTTTTTATGTTCAATGAATTCAATGAAAATTGAAATTTCATATCTGTTTTGGAAGTGTTATGTAATTGTAGATGTGTAAGTAATTGAAACCTTCTTGGTTGTTTAAATGTCAAGGGCAAGTGATAAGTGCCAGAGAGAGAAAAGAAAGACAATTAATGGGGATGACTTGTTATGGGCTATGGTGACTTTAGGCTTTGAAGATTACATCGATCCACTTAAGGTTTACCTCGCTAGGTACAGAGAGGTAAGTGCTTCCTATACTATTTTTCGAAATAAAGAGTTCAGACTCCTGCTTGTGGTCTAAAGCATATTGCTTAGTTTTCCTTTCGATATTACTAAGTACTGCAACTGATGGATTTTTTGTTTTTGTTTCTGTTTTTGGTTTTGGTGTTTTTGATTTCTCGTTGCATGATAGATGGAGGTGAGTGAATGTAAAGTGCTTTATCATCAAGTGGTTTTTATATTGGTTCATTTCGCTTGATAGCTTAATATTTGATTTGGGTTTTTCCACAGGGTGACACCAAGGCGTCAGCAAAGGGTGCAGATGGATCTTCAGGAAATGATGCAGTTCAACCTAGTACTAGTTCACAGGTATCCTGTAACACATTCTCTTGGAAGCCTTTCCTATATTTTTATTTAGGCTATTTGTTACATATATTTATTGCAATTACTATCCCCTGTATTTGTACAGCTTGCTCACCAGGGTTCATTTTCTCGAGTCATTAATTATGGAAACTCTCAGGTACCTACCATCTATGTCTCACGACTCTATGTTCCCAGATAACTGAGCTTGTTTTCACCATCAATCCCTCATTATATGTATACTGTATGTGTCTCTTATACCTTTCCAGCCCTATTCGCTACACATGAATTTTTACCTTGTGGTATAATCTCCAATTCTCTGTCTGTTCAACTCCATGTCTATCAAGGGAAAATTAGATCCAAATGACATTTAACTGGTCTCATTGTTGAAAAAAATATGGTTTTCCTTGATTGGGGTCATGGATCTCGAGTCTTACCACTGACTATTCTTCTTCAAAAACAATGATTAAACTCTGCCTGATTTTATAATAAATAGCTGGTCTGTTGTCGTATCTTCTTGGAAGAGAGAGATGATGGCGACATTGTCTAATTGTATCTAGATAGGGAAATGGATATACAAAAGACTACGCTTTAGGCTTTGTTAACTATCCTAAATATCATGCCACTAAATAAGCTTTGTCAACTCCTTCAAAAGGATGTTAACAGTTGTGTGACTAGAATGTGGTTTGAGAGGATCAGTGTCGACATTCTGACGAGTGACTTGATATGTCCTTCAGAAGGGAAAGCTGTTGAGTGTTGATTTCCAGAATAAGTTAATATAAGGAGGTTCACCATGATGAAGTTCGAGAGGATTTAACAAACTTCACTATGAATTCTGGCACAAGTCAATTCGATTAACTGAGTTTCAGAATGTCATGACTGTCAATTTCCAGCGTACTTTTCTTTGTATAACTTACAGTAGGGCGGCTAATCAAATAAGTTATCTGAAGTTTCTCATAGAGTGATTTGCTAGCATTTTTAATTGATTAATCTTTCTATAATTTGTGAGTTAGAGTAGGAGCTTTGCTTCAGCACTTTGATTCTGGTTTATTATTCTCCATAATTGCGAAATGATCTCCTTGAACATACTTTTTGATTCTGAGAATCTAATTGATGCTGTGCAATTGCTGTTTATCAACTTATCGCCTTCATCTCCGTGTATGAACGAAGTTAGTTTAATTCTCTTCTGGTTACTTGAATCTCTATCTATATAGCAGTTGGATCTGATTCTCGACTAATTTCATTTTATTTTCCGGTTTGATGTCCAGTCCCAAGCTCAACATAGGATGGTCTCAATGAGAGGCGCGGACTAGACTTTTATCTTCATTTTTGTCCTGCTTGGGGAGATCATCACAGTTTCAAAGTGTATTTTTATATTATTTATTATCATGCTTCAAGTTTGTTGAATTTCAGCACTCAAAAAGAGCTATATTCTAGTGAAATTTGTACATTTGGGTCACTTTCAAGAACATAAATTATGGGAAAAATTCATACATAAAAGTTTAAGCTTTACACATTTCAAAATCAAGAAAATAAGTTTCGAACTTTAAAAGTCAGATTTTTATTAAAATTTATTTATGATTTAATTAATTAATATATTTAGGTTACGATCTATACAATCTGGTCACAAATTAATGATTTAGTTAGTCATTTATTATTTTTTGATCACAAATCAGAAAATTTTATATCACAAATTATTTTACGGTCACATTTCAAAAATTTTATAGGTCATATTTTGTTCATTAGTCACAAATTAAAAAAATTTGTAAGTCGCTATTTATTTATTGATTACAAATTACAAATATTATAAAGTACAACTTATTATACAATTACAAATTATCGAACATACATTAACAATTGTTTAGGTCGCAAATTATTTTTTTATCACAATTTATATTTTTTATTGGTCACAGATTAATCAATTTAATGGTCACAGTCAACCAAATAATTTGCGACCACCATCATCATTTGCGACCACCATCTCACCATTCCTCCAGCACCATCACCATTGTCGTCGTCAGAATCAACACCATCGTCGTACCCATCACCACCAACACGAACACAACCAATCGCCACCATTAGATTAAAATCAACTATCAACAAAAACCACAACAAACCACCATTATTAGATCTCTAGCCACCAACCATCGCGACCGCCAGCACCAAACACACCAACAATGTCCAACCACAACCTCAACAACACTGTCCACATCATCATTACCAACACGAGCACCTTTACTGCAGCCAGAAACCATCACAATCGCCACCACCAAACACACAGACAATACCTAACCCACAATCTCACCAACATAACAAATGTCTCCACCGCCAACACAACCATCGTCAGAAATCATCACAACCACCAGAAACATAACCATAGCCAGAAAATCACTACCAAATACACCTAAAAATACACCACCCTGCAACCTCACCAACACAGGTAAAAGCAGCAGAAGTGTCGAATCCAGAAGCAATGAACTATTCTCGGCCAAGGCGGCAACATCGTCGCTCACTAAACATTGCAGCGTTGCCAACAACACACTCGTCCGGAGAAAAGACGAGTTTGCAAAGAGCATGGAGAATGTAGAGGAGAGTGAAGAGAGAGAGCATGGCTTCTTCACAGAGCGTTGCAGTACCGCCAACCACGCACACACACCGTCGATGTGTGTCTCGCCAGAGAAAAGTCGAATTTGCAGCGACGGTGGGTCAGCGGACTGATAATAGAGAGTGTGGAGTGGGGAGATGAGAGAGTGAAGAGAGAGAGGGGTTTTGGAATAGAATACGGTAGATTAATTAATTTTTATTTATATTAATTAATTAATAAAATATTTGATTTTTGAAATAGTATATTTCACATGTGATTTATGAAATGAGATTTCTAAAAGTATTAGTTCCTGCTATTTCCACATAAATTATCATAAGATTCAAGGGCAGACTTTGTTAATTGGGAAACCCTATTTTTCTAGTCAAAGAAAAGCTATAAAAAAATAAAATAAAATAAGTGTTCTAAAAGGTGATGCCTAGGTACGTGATTGGCCAAAATGTCAAGCCAAGTGGCTTGGCGCCTTATTTGATGATCAATAGCAATCATTGACCGCTAAGGCACGTCTATGCACAATTATGAGTGTATTGATGCGCATCATCATTGTTTTTAATTTTTATTTTGTGTTGTTAAAAAATTAACAATCCCTAATTTCTTCATTTTGTCATAATTTAAAACAACCACTTGTATTGGAAGACATAGAAGACGAATTAGATGAAGAATAGGATATTGAATTAGAGTCCGATAAAGAATTAGATAAGATTTAAGTTTCTATACTATTTATTTACTATTTTGTACTTAAATTTGAAATTTATCTTTTTATTGGAAACTTGAAAAAAATGTATAATGTTCTTATAAATCTATTTTAAATATTTAGTAAGTATTATTTTTAATTATGAAATAAATTTTTGATTTATTAAAAAGTAAAATAACATTAAAATAAGAAAATACATTTTTATACTTTTTATGCCTAAGCCTCACCTAATCTCGCATAGCTCATAACTTGGTCTCCACACACATCGTCACGCATCACACCTTTTAAAACACTAAAAAATGTATCTATTTTATTTTAAGACTTCCTAAAGATTTGCTTATAGAATATAATTCATTAATATAAAGAAGTATGAGGTGTCAAAATTTAATGGCATCACATTAACAAAAATATTATGTCCTTGTTTGAACTCCATTTTTTTTTTGGTGGGGTGGGGTGGGGTGGGATGGGGGGGAAAAAATTATTGAATAATGATATTTTTGTAAAAGTGTGGTTAAAAAGTAAGAAAATAATTTCGAATTATTTGTAAATTTATTTTATTAGAAAATATGTAATTGAAAATGAATTTTTAAAAATAGAAAACAATCAAGGGTTATGTAAAATTCAACTGAGTGTCCACCCATAGTAAGTATTATAACCTCTGTCTACCGTAGACAGAAAATCAAAAATCAATGTAAAATTAATATTCATAATAATATCTAGCAATGACGATGCCTTCGCCTCGCCTTAGTTGGGGTGGAATGGGTCGATGGTTTGCCTCATTTGTCGTTGCGTTTATTTTATTTTATTTTTTTCTTTTCACGGGACAGGTTTCATGCCCCGCCTGCCCCAAATGGGAAGGAAAAATAATAGGGTAATTGGCGCAAAACATCCTTACCTTTCGAGGTTATTGTGGAAAACGTCCCTACCTTTCATTTTTTGGCATTTTTGCCCTTATTTACCACCTTTCTTGCGCTGAAGGTCCTTTTCACTGTTTTTTGACGATTTTGCCCTCTATTCAAATAAAAGAAAAAGAATAGAATAGAAAATAAAAGAATTAATTGCAACTAATACCCCAAAATTTCAAAAAATTACAAATTAGTAATAAATATAGGAGTTAATAGCCCAAATGGTTACTAAACTCTGTCAAAGGTCCAAAAAGGTCATTGAACTTTTTTAAATACAAAAAGAAAAAAAAAACCAAAAAAACCAACAAAAAAATTTGAAGAAACGGGCCCCACCAACAAAAAAAAGGACCAAAAATAATAATAATAAAAATAAAATAAGGAATGTGAAAATGGAGGAAGGTGAAAAGTAATCCAAAAATTATTTTTTATTTTTTCAATCGTACATTTTTAATCAAAATTTATTGAAAATTTTATTTTTAGCAAAACTAATCTGTATTTTTTTTCTTTATTTTTAAAAATAAAATTTTCAATAAATTTTGATTAAAAATGTATGATTGAAAAAATAAAAAATAATTTTTGGTTTCCTTTTCCCCTTCCTCCATTTTCACCTTCCTTAATTTTTTTTTCCTTTTTTTGTTGGTGGGGCCCGTTTCTTCAATTTTTTTGTTGGTTTTTTTGGTTTTTTTTCTTTTTGTATTTAAAAAAGTTCAATGACCTTTTTGGACCTTTGGCAAAGTTTAGTAACCATTTGGGCTATTAACTCCTATATTTATTACTAATTTGTAATTTTTTGAAATTTTGGGGTATTAGTTGCAATTAATTCTTTTGTTTTCTATTCTATTCTTTTTCTTTTATTTGAATAGAGTGCAAAATTGTCAAAAAACAGTGAAAAGGACTTTCAGCGCAAGAAAGGTGGTAAATAAGGGCAAAAATGCCAAAAAATGAAAGGTAGGGATGTTTTCCACAATAACCTCGAAAGGTAAGGATGTTTTGCGCCAATTACCCAAAAATAATATATTCAATGATTATCTACAGTAATAGCTGTGCTTTTAATTACTTGACATCTTCAATGATTTTTTATTATCTATTATATTATATTATACGTAGGACTAGTAAATGTTGCATTGGATTTGATTCACCATTCACCAACCAGTTACCAGACCCACCAAACTCAGCAAAATACGTGGATAGTAATCCATAGTAGTTATGAATGTGTAATCACAACTAATGTTAAATTTATAAAAATATTATGAATTTGTATTTAAACTAGGGGTAAATGTTGTTCGATTTGTCCGATTTGTGCTATATTTTCAACTCAAATCATTTTATGCGGTTTGAAAATTTTTCAAATCAAATCAAACCATTTTATTTTTCGAACCAAACCATATCCGCGGTTTACTTTTCGACATTATAGGTAATGTATTTAGCATAAGTTAAATATAAGTTTAAGCGAGAACTAATTATGTTAAATGTTAAATTACATTCATATTTACCACGAAACTCATGAATAAATTATTTTCAAAGTTGGTTGTTAAAATATGTTAATAGAAAAAATATATATTTCTTCATTTTTATTTATCTTTTCTTATTTGACATTCGTATTGTCATATAACTATTGGTAAAAGTAGAGTTACATTCTCTTATTATAGTTTGGTTAAAATTCCTTTCGTCTTGCTAGTGAGATATAAGATAAGGATTAAATGTGATATATTTAGATGTACAAAGATTGATAGAGTTTTAACTTATTGAAAATTAACGAATTTCATCGTTTAACTACTTTATGAAAGGAGAAGGTAGTAATACTAGTTAGGGAACTTTAACATTTTCACATAATCAATACGTTCCATCATTCGTTTTTTCCAAATCACAAACAAGTTTATTAATCAACTAAGCACACGAATAATCATTTTTCTATCCAAACCAGAACTCACATTTGTATAATAAATTCAAAAAAACAAATAAAAGAAAGAAAAATGAAAAAAATTGTTTGAATAAGAATCTAAGACGGAGAAGAGAGAACGAGACGACTCGGGAAGAGATTAGTAGACTAATAGAAACAGACAAAGGCGATTGGTAATTCGTTCAATAGTAGCAAACAAGCATCAAATGTTAGGAAAATGAGAGTTTATGTCAGGGCTTCTAAAACTTTGGACGTGATTTACTGATATAGTTTTGTTGAATCATTATTTGGATTGTTGAAAATATATGTTTTTTTTTCTTCATTTTATATGATTTTGAAATAACTTTAGTTTAGTTTAGATATCGACTGAGGATATGTGTTGTGAATCTGTTAA